GGACTCAGGTCAATAATTTCTGACATTGCCAGTTAAACAGAAGACCCAATGCTATTATGGGCTACTGGACTCTTTTAGAATATTTTGCTGAGTTTACACTCCTATAATATTCAATAACAGAACTTAGAAAAAATGGAGTATACGGTGAATGTCCATTTTGTACCTGTGTATTCAAAGTGGTTAGGATAGATATATAGTTGTGTTCTCTTAATGAACAGAATGATTTGTCCTAATGGTGTTTGTAAATAGGATCACAAGTCTGCATCTTACACAGCAATTAACCACTAAGAAGAATATATACAGTGTATTATTTGTAGAAACTGTACTTCCAATTTGATTTAAAACTGTCTCATTGCTGCCTGTTTATCAGTAAAACTTTGAAAGAAAAAAAATTGTTAGGATAGATATATAGTTACATACCCTTAATGAATAGAGAGATTTGTTGTAATAGTGTTTGTAAATAGGATATCATGTCCGCATCTTGTACAGCAAATAACTACTAGGAAGAATGTATGCAATGTGTTAATTATTGAAACTGACCTACCAATTTGGTATGAAACTGTCTCATTGCTATTTGTTTCTCAATAAAATTATGGAGAAAGAAAAAAAATAAAGAGAGACGTTTTAGCCAGAGTTCTTTGATCTGCTGTATAAAGGAACAGGCATTGGAGTGCCCCGGTTCCCAAAGAAGCTGGAGCTTACCCAGTTCTTCCATATTAACAACTCACGCTTAGAAACACAAATCATGCAGTAGAAACAAGCAGCTCTCCTCAGGGCACTGGAGTTTGGAAACGTGATTATGGTTCTTTGCTCGTAGGAATGAATGGGGGAGATAGATGAACGTTCTGCAGTTTCTCTGCACCTCCAGCTGGAAAGTCACAAACTTCAAGGATGCTTTCTTTTAGGAGACTGAATGAATTGACACTCTTTTCACAGCGTGGAACTGTGAAGTACTTTAGTTACAAAAGTGACATTTTAGCCAGAGTTCTGTTTTGCACTGTATACAGGAACAGGCATTGAAGTGCACTGCTTCCCAAAGAAGCTGGAGCTTAGCTGGCTCTTCTGCATCAAGAACTCACAATTAGAAACACAAATCATTCAGTA